TTGAAAGACTTGCCACACGTTGGGCAACAAAACGGTTTCTCACCTCTGTGAATTCTGCTGTGGACGTACAAATCAGTTCTTCGATTAAAACCTTTCCCACACGTTTGGCAAGAATACGGCTTTTCATCTGCGTGGATAAACATGTGCATGTTAAACGTTGACAATTTAAAAAATCTCTTCCCACAGATGTTGCACAGGTAGGGCTTCTCGCCGGTGTGCACTCTCGTGTGGACCAGCAAAATAGACTTTTGAGCAAAACCTTTCCCACACGTTTTGCAGGAATAGGGCTTCTGGCACGTGTGGACCGCGGCGTGCCGGGTAAGGGTCGACGAGGTCAAGCATCTTTTCCCACAGGTGTTACAAACATAGGGCTTATCACCTGTGTGTGTTCTCATGTGCACAGTCAGGGCATCCTTCTGAGAGAAACCTTTCCCACACATCTCACAGGGATACGGCTTCTCGCCTGTGTGGATTCTCTGATGTCTTTGCATCCGGGATCTATACTTGAAGCCTTTTCCACAAACGTCACATGTTACAGATTTGCTGGCCGTGTCAGAGTGACGCTGGCTCGGAGAGTCGTCTGCACCGAGACGTCTGCAATTTCTCGTTTTTGGCTTTAAACCGAAACTCACAGTTAATCCTGAGTCAGCATTCTTGTTTCCTTTCTCACTTTCTTCCACCATGAAGGTCTCAGTCTCCTGGCTCACCTCCTGACAGAGCTCCTCCTCTTTTGGTTCCTCCTGGTCCACACTGGAGCTCCTCTCCTGGTTCCAGAGCTGCTGCTCATTGAGAACCTCCTCCTCCTCCTCCTCACAGACCTGCTGCTGTGGGACGTCTAAACAAAGGTGCACAAGAAATAAGTTATTATTTCCACTTTTGCATAGAAGAAATAAAAATGACCGATTAGTGAAGCTGAGAAGGAGATGAAGGTAAACTAATATTCTGTTGGTATGTTTGCATTTAGTTCTATCAAGTCTGGTACAAACAGCTGGGGATAAATTAGGCTCAGAGCATTAATGAGGTGACTTGTGCCCGGTGGCTCCACTGACAGAAATCACAGGTTTGAGACCAGGAGGAGACAAACACAGGCCTGTCTGGATAAATGTGCGGGCAGCATCAGGA